GTGACGTCTAATCCGAGTTGTGTCGACAGGGTGTCTCTCTCGACGACCCATGCCGAACATTCTGTCAATGTGTGGCGGACAGTGTCCACCGCAGCGCCACAGTGATGGCAAGCGGGGGTCCGTTCCCTACCTATCTTGTACAAATAACTACCAAAACAGCCGTGTCCCGACAGCATCTGCACTAGACGGTAGGACAGATGTCCCCGCCGCCGACTCACCCATTCCTTCAGGACTGGCTGAATCGCCTCCAACGTCCATCTTCCATTCCTTGAGGTCACGAGGCCATCGGACCACTCCTGGGTGACCCAATCTCCGGCGCTCCTTCTCCACTCGTTCACTGTTTCGTAGGCAGGTTCCTCTCCTCTCGCCCTAGAACGAAACCTACGCCAGTGAACGTCTGCTAAGGCAGAGGCTTCGAGGTGCCAAGGTGCCGAAGCGGCTAGTACGCACACGGCATCGAAAGACACCGTGCGGTACGCCCTTGCGACCCTTATGGCGATCACTCTCTGCGACTGCCTTAGCATCGCCCTATTCTGGGATGCCAAACCGTACGCCCAAATTGGGCACCCGTAGAGGGCCATCGAACGCATGACCCCTGCAAAAAGCCGGCGACGCCCCGTGCTCGGTCCGCCAACGTTCGGCATAATACGGCAAAGCGCCGATGCCGTGGCGGCCAGTTTGGGGGCCAGTGCCTTAAAGTGCGGCTTGAAAGTCCATCGGGAGTCGAGGACCAGGCCCAAGTACTTGAGCGTGGACCCGACTTCGATCGACTGACCGCCCACCGTAATCTTTCCACCTTGAGGTGGTGCTCTCCGCGGGCCATGGAAACATATCGCCTCCGATTTGTGAAGTGCGACTTCCAGGCCGATGTTTTTGATGCGCGCGACCACCTGAGCCACTCCCGCCGTCGCACGCAAGCTCGCCTCTCTGTAATCTCGCCCTTTGGCTACGACAAGTGTGTCGTCCGCGTAACAGATGACTTGTACGCTCCTGATCAAGACACCCCGTAGAACCTTGTCGTAGCCAATGTTCCACAAGAGAGGACCCAGCACCGACCCTTGTGGGACTCCGCACGATACTCTATGGGTACCTATACCGTCACGAGTGGGGTAAGTAATTACTCTACCCGTGAGGTAGTCCGCAACAATGTTGACCAGGTACTGCGGCAGGTTATGATACCGCATTCCCTGCAGTATACTGTCCCAGGGCAAAGTGTTAAACGCGTTCGCGATATCTAGAGACACCGCGATAACGACACCACCCTGTGACACCGTCTCGTCGCACAGGTCCCTTAGACGTCCGATGGCGTCAATGGTCGAGCGATGTTTGCGAAACCCGAACTGTGTCTCCGCTAAGTCCGGTCCTTCCGACGACAGGTGTCGCTGGATGCGACCGGCCAGGATGCGCTCGAAGAGCTTGCCAGCCTCATCCAGCAACACGATCGGACGGTAAGCCGATGGTGACGTTTCCGGCTTGCCGGGCTTCCTGAGGAGGACCAATTTCCCCCTTTTCCACTTCTCCGGAAACTTCCCTGCCCTTAGGCAGGGGGAACCTTTTTTTTTTTTTTTTTTTTTTACTTGGAGGAATCGAGTCTTTACCGACGCCCCCGCCGGGCCAAGTGCAATGGCGGGGGGAGTGTGGGGGTCAACCGCGAGTCGGCCACTACCCACTAAACCATCCAAGAGCCCGTCTGCCACTGCTCTGTTCGGTCAAGGGGCTGGTATCAGCTAAGCCTTTGCCCAGCCCCGAGCCGAGGGCAGATGTCGCACAGCTTGCGCGCGCGTATCGCCGTCTTGGCCTTCTTCTGCCTATGTTTCCATAGGAGCCCCTGTTGGAGGGGCCTTGGCCCCATTCGTGGGGTCCTTTTTGCGCGCCCTTTTGGGAGGCGCTTTACACTTAGCGCCACCCAACTTATGCTTCGCGTCCTTGCCGGCTGCCGCGCATATGGCGCAATGTGGCTCGGCCGTGCAGGACGCGGCGACATGGTCGGGCTGGCTACATCGGTAGCACAGCCGACTACGGTCACATTCTGTGACACAGCGGCCCGCGATGTGTCCGCTCTCTAAGCACTTGTAGCAGCGGAGTGCCCGGGGTTTTGCCACAGACACCTTCGCCACCACCCATCCAACGAGGAGCTTGCCTTCTGCAAGTTTCTTCGCGACTTCGATCGGAGCCCGAACCCAAACTGAGTACGAACCCCACCTGTCGTCCCTCTTCTGGCCAATCTTCACGTCGTTGAATTGGCATCCTCCTTTTTTGGCCACCGCATCTTGCAGTTCCAATTCGCCGACCGACTCGTCGATTCCTGAGATCCTGATGTCTACAGTCTTCGCGGGCCGCGTCACCTTCATCTTTCCGCCGAACAAGGTCCCCAGCTTTTCAGCCAGGGCATCGGCTTTTGAGCCGCTGTTCGCCCCAGGGAGCTCCAGAACTGTGGCCCCCGTTGCCGCCTTGCGGACTCTGAGGGTCTCAAGACCCGTAATCTCCTTCAAGTCTATCTTCGACCTCGCGATGAGCAGGGCCTTCTGATAAGTCAGCATCGCCTTCTCCTTTCCCTCGTCCGTGAGGGTGAGGACTATTGCCGACGACCGGGGAGTCCTGAGCTTCGGCTTTGCCTTAGCCTTGGGACTTTTCTTGGCTTTGGTTGCCTTCCCCGGTTGCGGTTGCGGATGCGACTTCTCCTTTGACTTCTTCCTTTTGACCACCGTGGCCCAGGTTTCCTCTAGAGAGTCTGGGTTCGGCGGCCTTGGATCCTCCTTGTCCTTTGCCTTCTTGGCTTTTTTCTTCTGCTCAGGTAGAGGTGCCACAACAGTCGCTACGGAAGTAGCAGGTGTCACCGTCTCCTTTTCCTTTCTTCTTCTGTCTGCCGCCAACGGGGGCCGAAGCAACGGCGCTGGGTTGAGCCGGGGCTCTAATCCCTCGATGCGGGCATTCATCTTGTCCCCCAGCTTTCGCAGGAGACTAGCCTCCAACTCCTCCATGTTTGGGGATCCAGAAGACTTCTGAAGGTTCTCCACCTTCCGGGTAAGCTCTTCTAGCTTCTCTCTTAGGCGCTGGTTCTCGGCGCTCAGGACCCTCGTCTCCTCGCAGACAGTTCTCTGTATGAGAACCATCGAGTTGTCCCTAATCGCCGAGACCGCATCATTCAGGGCGCGGACGAAGGTGCCCTTCAGGTTTCCGGACCCCTTTGCCACGCTCTCTATCACTCCCAGGCTGGCTTCAATGCCTCTCTTGGCGTCCAGCGCAGAACGGGGCATCGAGCCACTGAGGCCCGCAATATCTCCCTCGTCCCACTGTATCGACGACACGGATGATGCGCGCGTCGATCTCATCTCCGATGTGGAGGCCATGAGTTCCGCTTCCGCCTGGAGCTTCATCTCCTCCCTCTTTGCCTTTACCAAGGCCTGCTTCGCCGCTGCTAGACCGACGTACTCGCCGGTTGTCGGTGGGCGACCTCTTCCTCGCGGCTTGGACGATACTGGCGCCTCGCTTCCACTCCCACTGGAAGCGCCAGACCGACTTCGCTTCCGCGCCGACCACGGTCCGCGGTAGCGCTTCTTTCCTCCTGTGTCACAACTTGACACCGTCTCCATGGACTCCACGGACGAGTCCGAGAGCCCACCATATTCCTCCTCAATAGCCGCGTATGACTGAGCGGCAGCCGCGACTGATGGGCTGGGTGAAGCGCATAGGCGCTCCAACACCACTTTCGCGTCTGAAAATCTCCTTCCTCTACCATGGGGGTTGCCGGCCTCCAGAGTACGATCCGGCTTAACCGCCGCCCCTTCACCATTACTGGATCCAGAGCGACGGGTGGGATTTGACCCACCTGGAGTAGTGTTACTAGTCGTAGTTGCCTCCATGTTTTGTTTTTTGGTTGGTGCCTTAGGGGCTGGACTCCCACCAGCCATTCATCCCCTCGCCAGGCACCACAGACTTAGGATTGGGGGTGCGCTGCCTATGTCAGCGCACCTCGCGGACAACTAGCCCGCCATCCTCCGTGCCGAAGCACCACTTTCGGTTCGCAACCGCCTAGCAGCGGCAGAGAACCGATCTCCGCCTTAAACTATATAAAATATTTACAAGGAAATAAAAATATATACAGGGGTGAGAAGCACCCTCTTCTACAATAATATTTACAAAAATAAAATAATCTGTGCAATGACTTACCCAGCTCTTCCTCCTTGCTCGACAGGTCCCGGAGCAAAGTCCAGGGGTCGAGTCCCGCCGCAGGTCCAGGCTCCCGTCCCATAACAGGCTCAGGCTCCCGTTCCGCAGCAGGTCATCCTCTTCATCGGCTGTGCCGACTTGTGGGCGTAAAAGCCGACTTCTCGGTGCGACGACGGGGGGTAACAACCCCTAACCGGAGGCTATAAGCCATTCCCGGCCCGCCGCCGCTGTGTGCATGGCGCAGACGGGAGACGTGAAACGGTCCGACCCTGACGGCGTAGACGTATCATTTGCCGTCGAGGGCCCGCCGCGCCATGTACTCGCACACACGACCCAGGGCGAAAAGCGCCCCGGGCCCGCGCCATAGGACGCCCTTCCTCGCGCTTCACTGCGCATCGCGGTCTGAAGGACCGCGATAAACAAAACTTCGTCTTCCCCACCCACCACGAAAACGCGGTTGGCAAGGAACGCCGAAGATGTAGCAAGCCATACAGAGCAATATACAATATTGCAGAGTATCGCCCGCCTCCCAGTTAGCGACCACCGAGTCTGCAGGATACGCACCGGTCATCACAAAGTTAACAAACTTTGCCATAGCCGATACCACCCTAACTCAGATGGCCGGGCCCTTCCGGCACGACAAGCCCTGGGGCTGCACGAGATACTCAAAGTGCAGTGGAAGGGAGGCAGGGGGAACCTAACCTTTTTTTTTTTTTTTTTTTTTTTTTTTTTTTTTTTTTTTTTAACTTGGAGGAATCGAATCTTTACCGACGCCCCCGCCGGGCCAAGTGCAATGGCGGGGGGAGTGTGGGGGTCGACCCGAATGGCCACTACCCACTAAACCATCCAAGAGCCCGTCTGCCACTGCTCTGTTCGGTCAAGGGGCTGGTATCAGCTAAGCCTTTGCCCAGCCCCGAGCCGAGGGCAGATGTCGCACAGCTTGCGCGCGCGTATCGCCGTCTTGGCCTTCTTCTGCCTATGTCTCCATAGGAGCCCCTGTTGGAGGGGCCTTGGCCCCATTCGTGGGGTCCTTTTTGCGCGCCCTTTTGGGAGGCGCTTTACACTTAGCGCCACCCAACTTATGCTTCGCGTCCTTGCCGGCTGCCGCGCATATGGCGCAATGTGGCTCGGCCGTGCAGGACGCGGCGACATGGTCGGGCTGGCTACATCGGTAGCACAGCCGACTACGGTCACATTCTGTGACACAGCGGCCCGCGATGTGTCCGCTCTCTAAGCACTTGTAGCAGCGGAGTGCCCGGGGTTTTGCCACAGACACCTTCGCCACCACCCATCCAACGAGGAGCTTGCCTTCTGCAAGTTTCTTCGCGACTTCGATCGGAGCCCGAACCCAAACTGAGTACGAACCCCACCTGTCGTCCCTCTTCTGGCCAATCTTCACGTCGTTGAATTGGCATCCTCCTTTTTTGGCCACCGCATCTTGCAGTTCCAATTCGCCGACCGACTCGTCGATTCCTGAGATCCTGATGTCTACAGTCTTCGCGGGCCGCGTCACCTTCATCTTTCCGCCGAACAAGGTCCCCAGCTTTTCAGCCAGGGCATCGGCTTTTGAGCCGCTGTTCGCCCCAGGGAGCTCCAGAACTGTGGCCCCCGTTGCCGCCTTGCGGACTCTAAGGGTCTCCAGACCCGTGATCTCCTTCAGATCAATCTTAGACCTCGCGATGAGCAGGGCCTTCTGATAAGTCAGCATCGCCTTCTCCTTTCCCTCGTCCGTGAGGGTGAGGACTATTGCCGACGACCGGGGAGTCCTGAGCTTCGGCTTTGCCTTAGCCTTGGGACTTTTCTTGGCTTTGGTTGCCTTCCCCGGTTGCGGTTGCGGATGCGACTTCTCCTTTGACTTCTTCCTTTTCACCACCGTGGCCCAGGTCTCCTCCAGAGAGTCTGGGTTTGGCGGCCTTGGATCCTCCTTGTCCTTTTTCTTCTCCTTAGGTCCAGGTGCCACAACAGTCGCTACAGGAGCTAGTGCCACCGTTTCCTTTCCTTTTCTCCTTCTGTCTGCCGCCAACGGGGGCCGAAGCAGCGGCGCTGGGTTGAGCCGGGGCTCTAATCCCTCGAGTCGGGCATTCATCTTGTCCCCCAGCTTTCGCAGGAGACTAGCCTCCAATTCCTCGATGTTCGGGGATCCAGAAGACTTCTGAAGGTTCTCTACCTTCCGGGTAAGCTCTTCTAGCTTCTCTCTTAGGCGCTGGTTCTCGGCGCTCAGGACCCTCGTCTCCTCGCAGACAGTTCTCTGAATGAGAACCATCGTGTTGTCCCTAATCGCCGAGACCGCATCATTCAGGGCGCGGACGAAGGTGCCCTTCAGGTTTCCGGACCCCTTTGCCACGCTCTCTATCACTCCCAGGCTGGCTTCAATGCCTCTCTTGGCGTCCAGCGCAGAACGGGGCATCGAGCCACTGAGGCCCGCAATATCTCCCTCGTCCCACTGCATCGACGACACGGATGATGCGCGCGTCGATCTCATCTCCGATGTGGAGGCCATGAGTTCCGCTTCCGCCTGGAGCTTCATCTCCTCCCTCTTTGCCTTTACCAAGGCCTGCTTCGCCGCTGCTAGACCGACGTACTCGCCGGTTGTCGGTGGGCGACCTCTTCCTCGCGGCTTGGACGATACTGGCGCCTCGCTTCCACTCCCACTGGAAGCGCCAGACCGACTTCGCTTCCGCGCCGACCACGGTCCGCGGTAGCGCTTCTTTCCTCCTGTGTCACAACTTGACACCGTCTCCATGGACTCCACGGACGAGTCCGAGAGCCCACCATATTCCTCCTCAATAGCCGCGTATGACTGAGCGGCAGCCGCGACTGATGGGCTGGGTGAAGCGCATAGGCGCTCCAACACCACTTTCGCGTCTGAAAATCTCCTTCCTCTACCATGGGGGTTGCCGGCCTCCAGAGTACGATCCGGCTTAACCGCCGCCCCTTCACCATTGCTGGATCCAGAGCGACGGGTGGGATTTGACCCACCTGGAGTAGGTTTACTTTTCGTAGGTGCCTCCATGTTGTTTTTTGTTGTTTGGTGCCTTAGGGGCTGGACTCCCACCAGCCACTCATCCCCTCGCCAGGCACCACAGACTTAGGATTGGGGGTGCGCTGCCTATGTCAGCGCACCTCGCGGACAACGAGCCCGCCATCCTCCGTGCCGAAGCACCACTTTCGGTTCGCAACCGCCTAATAGCGGCAGAGAACCGATCTCCGCCTTAAACTATATATAAAATATTTACACAATAAATAAAAATATATACAGGGGTGAGAAGCACCCTCTCCAAAAACACTATCTACTAAAATAAATGTGCAAACACTTACCCTAGAGCTCCTTCCACCCTGCTCGACCGGTCCCGAAGCTATGTCCAGGGGTCGAGTCCCGCTGCAAGTCCAGGCACCTGTCCCGTTGAAGGTTCAGGCTCCCGTCCCGCAGTAGGTCATCCTCTTCATCGGCTGCGCCGACTTGTGGGCGTAAAAGCCGACTTCTCGGTGCGGCGACGGGGGGTAACGACCCCTAACCGGAGGCTATAAGCCATTCCCGGCCCGCCGCCGCTGTGTGCATGGCGCAGACGGGAGACGTGAAACGGTCCGACCCTGACGGCGTAGACGTATCATTTGCCGTCGAGGGCCCGCCGCGCCATATCTTCGCACACCCGACCCAGGGCGAAAAGCGCCCCGGGCCCGCGCCATAGGACGCCCTTCCTCGCGCTTCACTGCGCATCGCGGTCTGAAGGACCGCGATAAACAAAACTTCGTCTTCCCCACCCACCACGAAAAACGCGGTTGGCAAGGAACGCCGAAGATGTAGCAAGCCATACAGAGCAATATACTATATTGCAGAGTATCGCCCGCCTCCCAGTTAGCGACCACCGAGTCTGCAGGATACGCACCGGTCATCACAAAGTTAACAAACTTTGCCATAGCCGATACCACCCTAACTCAGATGGCCGGGCCCCCCCGGCAACGACAAGCCCTGGGGCTGCACGAGATACTCAAAGTGCAGTGGAGGGGAGGGGGAACTTTTTTTTTTTTTTTTTTTTTTTTTTTTTTTTTTTTTTACTTGGAGGAATCGAGTCTTTACCGACGCCCCCGCCGGGCCAAGTGCAATGGCGGGGGGAGTGTGGGGGTCAACCGCTAGTCGGCCACTACCCACTAAACCATCCAAGAGCCCGTCTGCCACTGCTCTGTTCGGTCAAGGGGCTGGTATCAGCTAAGCCTTTGCCCAGCCCCGAGCCGAGGGCAGATGTCGCACAGCTTGCGCGCGCGTATCGCCGTCTTGGCCTTCTTCTGCCTATGTTTCCATAGGAGCCCCTGTTGGAGGGGCCTTGGCCCCATTCGTGGGGTCCTTTTTGCGCGCCCTTTTGGGAGGCGCTTTACACTTAGCGCCACCCAACTTATGCTTCGCGTCCTTGCCGGCTGCAGCGCATATGGCGCAATGTGGCTCGGCCGTGCAGGACGCGGCGACATGGTCGGGCTGGCTACATCGGTAGCACAGCCGACTACGGTCACATTCTGTGACACAGCGGTCCGCGATGTGTCCGCTCTCCAAACATTTGTAGCAGCGGAGTGCCCGGGGTTTTGCCACAGTCACCTTTGCCACCACCCATCCGACGAGGAGCTTGCCTTCTGCAAGCTTCTTTGCGACTTCGATCGGAGCCCGTACCCAAACTGAGTACGAACCCCACCTGTCGTCCCTCTTCTGGCCAATCTTCACGTCGTTGAAGTGGCATCCTCCTTTTTTGGCAACCGCATCCTGCAGTTCCATTTCGCCGACCGACTCGTCGATTCCCGAGATCCGAATGTCTACGGTCTTCACGGGTCGCGACACCTTCATCTTTTCGCCGAACAATGTCCCCAGCTTTTCAGCCAGAGCGTCGGCTTTGGGGCCGCTGTTCGCCCCAGGGAGCTCCAGTACTGTGGCCCCCGTTGCCGCCTTGCGGACTCTGAGGGTCTCAAGACCCGTAATCTCCTTGAGATCTATCTTCGACCTCGCAATGAGCAAGGCTTTCTGATACGTCAGCATCGCCTTCTCCTTTCCCTCGTCCGTGAGGGTGAGGACTATTGCCGACGACCGGGGAGTCCTGAGCTTCGGCTTTGCCTTAGCCTTGGGACTTTTCTTGGCTTTGGTTGCCTTCCCCGGTTGCGGTTGCGGATGCGACTTCTCTTTCGTTTTCTTCCTTTTCACCACCGTGGCCCAGGTTTCCTTCAGGGAGTCTGGGTTCGGCGGCCTTGGATCCTCCTTGTTTTTCGACTTCTTGGTCTTCTTCTTTTCCTTTTCGGGTCCAGAAGAAACAGCAGCCACCACAGGCGCTACGGAAGTAGCAGCCGCCATCTTCTCTCTTCCCTTATTCTTCTTGTCCGCTGCCAAGGGAGGCCTCAGTAGTGGCGCAGGATTAAGCCGCGGCTCTAGGCCATCTATGCGAGCATTAATTCTGTCTCCTAATTTAAGCAAGAGACTCGCCTCCAACTCTTGCATGTTGGGGATCCCCGAAGACTTCTGAAGCTCATCCACCTTCTTCGTGAGCTCCTCCAACCTCTCCCTAAGTTGCTGGTTCTCGGCGCTCAGGACCCTCGTCTCCTCACTAATGGTTCTCTGGATGAGAACCTGCGAGTTGTCCCTAATCGCCGAGACCGCTTTCTTCAGCGCATAGACGAAAGTACCCTTCAGATTGCCGGATCTCTTCGCCACGCCTTCTATCACCTGTAGGCTCGCCTCAATGCCCCTACGAGCATCCAAAGCCGAGCGACTAGCCGGATCACCAGTGTCCACGATGTCCGCCTCATCCCATTGCATCGAAGACACCGATGCGCGCGTAGATCTCAGCTCTGACGCGGAAGCCGCAAGTTCGGCCTCAGCCTGGAGCCTCATCTCCTCTCTTTTGGCCTTCACCAAGGCCTGCTTCGCCGCAGCCAGTCCGACGTACTCGCCGGTTGTCGGTGGGCGACCTCTCCCTCTCGGCTTTGACGATTCTGGCGCCTCGCTCCCACTACCACTCGATGCACCAGATCGACTCCGCTTTCGCGCTGACCTCGGTCCGAAGTAGCGCCTCTTCCCCGCCGTGTCGCAACTCGACACCGTCTCCATAGACCCTTCGGACGAGTCCGAGAGCCTACCATACTCCTCCTCAATGGCCGCACAAGATCGAGCGGCGGCCGCTACGGATGGACTTGGTGAAGCGCTAAAGCGCTCCAACACTACTCTTGCATCCGAATATCTCCACTCTCTACTATGGGGGTTGCCGGCCTCCAGAATACGATCCGGCTTAACCGCCGCCCCTTCACCATTGCTGGATCCAGAGCGACGGGTGGGATTTGACCCACCTGGAGTAGTCTTACTAATCGTAGGTACCTCCATATTTGATTTTTGGTTGGTGCCTTAGGGACTGGACTCCCACCAGCCATTCATCCCCTCGCCAGGCACCACAGACTTGGGATTGGGGGTGCGCTGCCTATGTCAGCGCACCTCGCGGACAACGAGCCCGCCATCCTCCGTGCCGAAGCACCGCTTTCGGTTCACAACCGCCTAAACGCGGCAGAGAACCGATCTCCGCCGTAAAACTATATAAAATATTTACATAAAAGAAATAATAATATATACATGGGTGAGAAGCACCCTCTCCTAAAACACTATATACAAAAATAACATGTGCAAAAACTTACCCAGCTCTTCCTCCTTGCTCGACCAGTCCCGAAGCAATGTCCAGGTGTCGAGTCCCGCCGCGTATCCAGGCTCCCGTCCCGTAACAGGCTCGGGCTCCCGCTCCGCAGCAGGCCATCCTCTTCGTCGGCTGAGCCGACTTGTGGGCGTAAAAGCCGACATCTCGGTGCGACGACGGGGGGTAACAACCCCTAACCGGAGGCTATGAGCCATTCCCGGCCCGCCGCCGCTGTGTGCATGGCGCAGACGGGAGACGTGAAACGGTCCGACCCTGACGGCGTAGACGTATCATTTGCCATCGAGGGCCCGCCGCGCCATATCCACGCACACCCGACCCAGGGCGAAAAGCGCCCCGGGCCCGCGCCATAAGACGCCCTTCCTCGCGCTTCACTGCGCATCGCGGTCTGAAGGACCGCGATAAACAAAACTTCGTCTTCCCCACCCACCACGAAAAACGCGGTTGGCAAGGAACGCCGAAGATGTAGCAAGCCATACAGAGCAATATACAATATTGCAGAGTATCGCCCGCCTCCCAGTTAGCGACCACCGAGTATGCAGGATACGCACCGGTCATCACAAAGTTAACAAACCTTGCCATAGCCGATACCACCCTAACTCAGATGGCCGGGCCCCTCCGGCAACGACAAGCCCTGGGGCTGCACGAGATACTCAAAGTGCAGTGGAGGGGAGGGGAGGGGGAACCTAACCTTTCTTTTTTTTTTTTTTTTTTTTTTTTTTTTTTTTACTTGGAGGAATCGACTCTTTACCGACGCCCCCGCCGGGCCAAGTGCAATGGCGGGGGGAGTGTGGGGGTCAACCGCGAGTCGGCCACTACCCACTAAACCATCCAAGAGCCCATTCGTCACTGCACTGTTCGGACAAGGGGCTGGTATCAGCTAGGCCTTTAAACCCAGCCCCGTGCCGAGGGCAGCCGTCACGCAGCTTTCGCGCGTCTCGCCTTCTTGGCTCTCTCCTGCCTATGTTTCCATAGGGGCCCCTGTTGGAGGGGCCTTGGCCCCTTTCTTGGGGTCCATTCTCCGTGCCCTTTTGGGTGGAGCTCTGCACTTCGCACCGCCCAACTTGTGCTTTGCATCCTTTCCGGCTGCCGCGCATATAGCGCAATGTGGCTCAGCCGTGCACGACGCGGCGACATGATCCGGCTGGCTACATCGGTAGCACAGCCGACTTCGGTCACACTCTGTGACGCAGCGGCTCGCAACATGGCCGCTCTCCAGGCATTTGTAGCAGCGGAGGCCGCGGGGTTTTCCCACCATCACTCGCGCCACCACCCATCCGACGAGGAACCTTCCTGTGGCCAGCTTCTTGGCCGCCTCGATAGGGACCCGAGACCAGTAAGAGAACAGGCCCGATCTTTCTTCCCTCTTTTTGCCGACCCAAACTTCCTTTGGGTGGCACTCTCCTTTTTCTGCGATTGCGGCCATGAGCTCGCACTCGCCGACCGACTCGTCTATGCCGGAGATGCGGATGTCAGCGGTCTTCTTTGGCCGCGTCACCCGTATGCTTCCCTCGCCGATGACCGACTTTAACTTCTCAGCTAAGGCGTCGGCCTTGGAACCACTGTTTGCTCCGGGGAGCTCTAAGACAGCGGCCCCTGTTGCCGCCTTGCGGTACTTGATGCTATCTATGTCCGCCACTTCCTTAAGGTTGATCTTCGCCCTCGCGATCATCAAAACCTTGCTGTAAGTCGTCTTCTCTTTACCCTCATCGGTGAGGGTGATCACTACAGCTGACGACCGAGGCATCCTAAGCTTCGGTTTCGGCTTGGGCTTAGCCTGGGCACTCTTCTTTGGCTTAGGAGCCGGGCCCGTTCTTGCCTGCGTCCTATCTTCCGTCTTCTTTTTCTTCTTCACCACAGTGACCCAGTTCTCCTCCAGAGTATCCGGGTTCTGCGGCCGAGAAGGTCCATCCGTCTTCTTCTTCTCCTTCCCACGTCTCGTGTCCTTTTCGGCTCCAGAAACGGCAGCAGTCACCACGGGAGCTACGGGGGTGACAACCGCCGGTAGGACAGGTGGGTTTCTTACCGCCCTCTCCTTTCCTTTCTTCGCCTTGTCCGCTGCCAGGGGAGGCCTAAGCAGTGGCGCAGGATTAAGCCGAGGCTCTAGGCCTTCTATGCGGGCATTAATCCTGTCTCCTAGTTTGAGCAAGAGACTCGCCTCCAACTCTTGCATGTTTGGGAGCCCCGAAGACTTCTGCAGCTCATCCACCTTCTTCGTGAGCTCCTCTAACCTCTGTCTCAGTTGCTGGTTCTCGGCGCTCAGGACCCTCGTCTCCTCACTAATGGTTCTCTGGATGAGAACCTGCGAGTTGTCCCTAATCGCCGAGACCGCTTTCTTCAGTGCATAGACGAAGGTTCCCTTCAAATTGCCGGATCTCTTCGCCACGCCTTCAATCACCTGCAAGCTGGCCTCAATGCCCCTGCGAGCATCCAAAGCCGAGCGACCAGCCGGATCGCCAGTGTCCACGATGTCCGCCTCGTCCCATTGCATCGAAGACACTGACGATGCACGTGTAGATCTCAGCTCCGAAGCGGATGCCGCAAGATCGGCCTCAGCCTGGAGCCTTATCTCCTCTCTTCTGGCCTTCACTAAGGCCTGCTTCGCCGCAGCCAGTCCGACGTACTCGCCGGTTGTCGGTGGGCGACCTCTCCCTCTCGGCTTCGACGATTCTGGCGCCTCACTTCCACTCCCACTGGAAGCACCAGACCGACTTCGCTTCCGCGCCGACCGCGGTCCGCGGTAGCGCTTAACTCCTCTGGTGTCACAACTCGACACCGTCTCCATGGACCCTTCGGACGAGTCCGAGAGCCCTTCAAACTCCTCCTCTATGGCCGCATAAGATCGAGCGGCGGCCGCGACAGAGGGACTTGGTGAAGCGCATAAACGCTCCAACACCACTCTTGCATCCATCACCTTCCTTCCTCTACTACTATGGGGGTTGCCGGCCTCCAGAATACGTTCCGGCTCAACCGCGGCACCTTCACCATTGCTGGATCCAGTACGGCGGGTGGGATTTGACCCACCTGGAGTAGTTTTATTGAACGTAGAATCCTCCATATTTGATTTTTGTTTGGTGCCTTAGGGGCTGGACTCCCACCAGCCATTCATCCCCTCGCCAGGCACCACAGACTTAGGATTGGGGGTGCGCTGCCTATGTCAGCGCACCTCGCGGACAACTAGCCCGCCATACTCCGTGCCGAAGCACCGCTCTCGGTTCAAAACCGCCTAGCAGCGGCAGAGAACCGATCTCCGCCTTAAAACTATATAAAATATTTACAAAAGAAATAAAAATATATACATGGGTGAGAAGCACCCTCTCCTAAAACACTATATACAAAAATAATATGTGCAAAAACTTACCTAGTTCTTCCGCCCTGCTCGACCGGTCCCGAAGCAATGTCCAGGGGTCGAGTCCCGCCGCAGGCCCAGGCTCCTGTCCCGTAACAGGCTCAGGCTCCCGTTCCGCAGCAGGCCATCCTCTTCGTCGGCTGTGCCGACTTGTGGGCGTAAAAGCCGACTTCTCGGTGCGGCGACGGGGGGTAACAACCCCTAACCGGAGGCAACAAGCCATTCCCGGCCCGCCGCCGCTGTGTGCATGGCGCCGACGGGAGACGTGAAACAGTCCGACCCTGACAGCGTAGACGTATCATTTGCCGTCGAGGGCCCGCCGCGCCATATCATCGCACACCCGACCCAGGGCGAAAAGCGCCCCGGGCCCGCGCCATAGGACGCCCTTCCTCGCGCTTCACTGCGCATCGCGGTCTGAAGGACCGCGATAAACAAAACTTCGTCTTCCCCACCCACCACGAAAACGCGGTTGGCAAGGAACGCCGAAGATGTAGCAAGCCATACAGAGCAATATACAATATTGCAGAGTATCGCCCGCCTCCCAGTTAGCGACCACCGAGTCTGCAGGATACGCACCGGTCATCACAAAGTTAACAAACTTTGCCATAGCCGATACCACCCTAACTCAGATGGCCGGGCCCCCCCGGCAACGACAAGCCCTGGGGCTGCACGAGATACTCAAAGTGCAGTGGGGGGGGGGAACCTAACCTAACCTCTCCTTTTTTTTTTTTTTTTTTTTTTTTTTTTTTTTTTACTTGGAGGAATCGACTCTTTACCGACGCCCCCGCCTGGCCACTTAAGTGGCGGGGGGAGTGTGGGGGTCGGCCAGCTTGACCACTACCCACTAAACCTCCAAGAGCCCACGGGAGACTTGCCGGACGCGAGCGAGCGGTTAGTTGCCCTTGACCCGCATGCCCGCGCCCGTGTGTCCTGCCGCGCGTGTTTCCTGCGCGCGGCTCGCCCTACGTGGCCGGTTGATGGCCACGTCTCCTGGCTCGGTCCTAAGACCGAGGTCACGGCTGGCGCCGGGCGTAATCGCGCCGGCGCCGCCCAAGTCTCCTCCGTCGGAGTGCGGGGGCGTCGGGAGCAATCTCCCTCGCCCTCTCCGCTTCCTCCTTTTGCGAGAGGACGTCGGCGCAGAAGGCCTCAAAGGCCCGCCACGGAGCGTCATCCGCGCTCCTAACTATCCCTGCCACAATGGCTGGCAGGGACAGATCCGCGCCGAATGCTCCGGCCAGGGCAGTCCTCTGACTCGCCCAGGCCGGGCATGCCTCCAAGGTGTGTTGCGCCGTGTCTGAGGCGCATCCGCAGTGATGGCAGGAGACTGTTTCCTCCCGCCGGATCCCGTGCAGGTATTTGCCGAAGCACCCGTGCCCCGACAAAATCTGCACCGCGTGGTAGGACAGGGATCCCCACCGCTTCGTCCTCAGCCACTCGGGCAGGACGGGCGCGATCGCTCGAAGCGTATGCGCGCCTACCCGGGAGGTGGCAAGATGCTCTTGCCACCGCGCAACAACAGCCCTTTGGCCGTCCTCCCTCCAATCCTTGAGGAGCTCGTAAGTGAGCTCCTCGCCTCGACTCCGGACTTCAGCCCGGCGCCAGTAAATGTCGGCTAAGGCAGCCGCCTCCAGGTGCCAGGGTGCGAGCCCGGCTATTGCGCACACCGCGTCATAGGACACGGTGCGGTACGCCCTCGCCACCCTGAGCGCCATCACCCGCTGCGACTGCCTCAGCAGCGCAAGGTTCTGCGCCGACAAATCCTGGGCCCATATGGGGCAGCCATAGAGCGCCTTGGAGCGCACGACGCCGGCGTACAAGCGGCGACACCCCTCGCTCGAGCCGCCAAGATTCGGCATTATTCGGCACAAAGCCGATGCCGTGGCGGCGAGCTTCGGGGCAAGTGCCGCGAAGTGCGCCTTGAAGGACCACCGAGAGTCGAGGACCAACCCCAAATACTTTAGGGTGGACCCTATCCCGATGGCCTCTCCGCCGACGATGATGTGCGCCCCGCTCGGCGGCGCTCTCCTGGGACCGTGGAATGCGATCGCCTCTGATTTGTTCAGGGCGACTCGCAGGCCAATCCTCTGGATCCGCGCCACGACCTGTGCCACCCCGGCCGTGGCGCGAAGCTTGGCCTCGCGGAAATCGTCGCCCCTCGCAACCACCAGGGTGTCATCCGCGTAGCAGATGACGCTGACACCCCGGATGAGAGAGCAACGCAGGACCCCGTCATAGCCGATGTTCCACAGGAGTGGACCTAACACCGACCCCTGCGGCACACCGCAGCTGACGGGGTGGGAACCCCATCCTTGCCTCCTGGGGAACGTGATGCGTCTCGCCGTGAGATACGACGCAATCACGTCGCGAAGATAGACAGGCACGCCATGATAGCGAAGCCCATCCATAACCGCTTCCCAGGGCAGGGTGTTGAACGCGTTGGCAATGTCAAGCGACACCGCCAAAACAACCCCGCCCTCCGCCACAGTCCCGTCCGACACATCGCGCAATCTCGCGATCGCGTCGATTGTCGACCGCCCCTTCCGAAAGCCAAACTGGCAATCGGACAGGTCTGGCCCCTCCAGAGCCAAGTGCTGCTGGATGCGGGTCGCTACTATACGCTCAAAGAGCTTGCCCGCTTCGTCCAGCAGCACGATCGGCCGATACGCCGAAGGCAAGTCCGGCGGTTTGCCAGGCTTCTGGAGAAGAACCAGCCTTCCCTCCTTCCACAAGTCCGGGAAGATGCGGTTCCGCAGACAAGCCGACAACAGCTTGCGGAACCGCTCGTCGAGGCCGGATTGCAAGGCAAGAGACAGAACCTTCCCGTGCACCCCATCAGGGCCGGGAGCCGTCCTCTTGCCTCGCGTCCTGTCCAAGGCCGAGCTGAGCTCGGCCGATGTCACGTCCGGTGCCCCCGCGTCCGGGGGTGTCGTCGACTGGGAGGGAAGCGAAGCATCCGCATGGGGAAACAAGGCCGACACGACTGAGTTCAGAAGTGCCGGCTCCATGCTGGATGTCAGGGGTGGGGCCCAGGGGCGCAGCTTGCTCATTACGAGCTTGTACGGCCGCCCCCATGGGTCTAGCTCCAAGGTGCTCAGGAGCTCCTCCCACGCCCTTTCCTTCGCCTCCGCGATCTTCATCCTCAGGGCCTTCTTTGCTTCCTGATAGAGGCAATAGAGGCGCCCTTCCTCTTCGGTGTTCCGCGAGGCACGCCGTCTCCTCCTGTACCTGGTGTACTGGCGTCGGGCCACCACACAAGTTGACCGAAGTGCGGCCAACTCCTCCGACCACCAGTACACCTGCCTACGCGGCGGAAGAGGTCGAGACCGAGCCATTGAAGCGTCACAGATACGCTCCAAGGCCGCCCCGAACCACTCCACCTCCTCCCTCACCGAAGGGGACTCCGGCTCTGGACACCAGGCGGCCACTATCGAGGCCACCTCCACCATCTCCCTGTCCAGAGACTTCAGGGCCCAACGAGGGCCCTTCTGCGCCGGAGGGGCGCCAGGCCCGATCGCCGTGGACTGAGAGGAGACACTGAACCGTATGTAACGGTGATCAGACAGCGTCTCCTCCCCGTCCAACACCTCCCAGTCGACGATGCGGCGCGCAAGCCCGGGGCTGGCAAAGGTAAGGTCCACTATGGACCCCCCCTGCATTCGGACGCACGTCTGCGTCGAGCCCCGGTTCACGAGCGCCAGGTTGTGCGCAGCCATCCACTCGACGAGGACGTCGCCACGAATATCTGAGGTTGGGGAACCCCAAACTGCCGACTTGGCATTGAAGTCCCCCGCCACTACCACCTCATTCGGGCGACCCCACGACAC